CTTTATGGAATACTGTTATATTTGAGCTGGTTCTTCTAATGATGCTTTTTTCCTTTTAGACAAGGTCATCGCACTTCAAAATCAGTGTTTTATTTTATAGTAAAAAACATTAATAATAAAATAGATATTAGTTTGTTAGTTTTTGTATCAATTAGTTGAATAAAATAACAAAAGCAGGCCTATTTATAGCAGCCATTTTAAATTTATTATTTAACAAACCTTTTTAATTAAACATTAACACTGAAACACCTGAAAAACAATCGATTTTTCAGATATTTCAGTGTTAATATTTGAACAATGATACGATGAACAAAAAATATCAGTTTATTTACAAGTATGTATGAACAATAATACGATGAACAAAAAAATATCAATTTATTTACAAGTATATATGAATTTGAATACCAATTTATTTACTATTTGAGAATAAAACATTTTATGTATTAACAGAATATATTTAGTTAAAATCATGTATTAATAATTTTGTTATCCAAGTTTCTCACTAAAAAAGTAGCATGAAAGTCCGTATGCAACCAAAGTTACCAAAAGCTGGTTTTATAGAAAGCAAGGTTTCACATTTTTGTATTACTATTTAAATGTATTTCTGTAATACAAATAATTTCTGTAATACAAATAATTTCTAATGAATTAAAATTTTAAAAACGTAATAAATCAAGTTTATACTTGAATAAAGAGATTTGTTTTAGGGTTAGTTTTGTACATTTTAAAACAGATTATGTATTTTCATGAATTGTTTTCATGTACCATTTATATTGTTTTCATGTATCATTTGTATTATTTTTATAGAAAAGTGAAAGGTACTTCCGCCATTTTGTATTTAGTTCAAATTTGCACCATTCTAATTTAAATTATTTGCAGTATGACGTGTTTTTTCAAATATGTAAAGCAAGAAATATTGGATACAATGAAAAGGTATGACAAATTAAATGATATAACAATAAATTAAATAGAGAAAGAGAAAACTTCTTATCTTTTTTTTTATGTTTTTTTTTTTTAAATAAATAAAGATAAAATTTTAGAGAAAGCTTGGTACTGTATTTGCATTGTTTGATAAACATCGTAGGGACTCAATCGGAATGATGTAAGTTTCCTAATAAATCCTTATAAAAATATTCTTTATAATTATTCTTATGAAAAAACATAATACCAATTGTTTTACTTTTATTAAGGAAAATTAAAATCATACAAAGGTTTTCTTGTGAATTGATATATCCCTGTTATTACCACCAATCTAAAAAAGAAAGCTGCTATTACAGATTTTTTCATTCTTTTATTTATTTTAAAGGTATAAAAATACAGGTAGTTTGTAAAGCTGGTTTATCCAACTAATAAAATCACGGAATTTCATACTGCAAGTTTATCCAAGTAATAAGACATAAATATTCAAGTTTTTTTTTGTTTAGAAAATAGAACGAAGGAAATAAACTAATGCAACTAAATATATTAACTAATATGTTATCCAATAATACTTCGCCGATCTACGAAGATTGTACCTTAAATTATTTTTTGATATTTTTTACTTTTTTGTTTTTTTAAAATGAAATCTCCACTTTTTTAAAAAACTAATTTCTTTTAATATATTTTTTCACTTTTTATAATAAACATTGCCCAACAAAAAACTACTCACTGGAACAGCCGGAGAAAGTATATATAAATTTTATAGTTATATAAATTATTATAATATTGACTCTCTCTCTCTCTAATTGGAAAGCCAATTTCTCAGTTATCTACAGCAAGATTACTACGTATGCTGGATGTACTTCAACTGTTCCAGTTTCATCATTTAACTGAAGGATGAACCCTTCCAGAAGATATATAAAATGTCTTGTGATGCAGTTATTTGTATATGGATGCAAGCCAGGATACCAACACAGCGTATTGACTCATGTGTCAGAAAACTGTCAAAGCTGCATCAAAACTATCTTGCTCTGAAGGTACACCAAACAAAAAAACGAGAAAGCGACAGGATGAAAGAAGACATGTTTAAAGGTGACCTTCAAGAATTGTTTGATATTGCGACAAATGATGTCATGACAGAAATACTAATTGAAGAAGATCGGAAATTCCTTCTCATGCAAAGAGATGTTTTTTCTTGCAACATGAGTGGAGTCGATGTAAAAACAGCAGCAAAAAAAAAAAAAAAAACAGGAAGAGGCAACGAGAGGAAAAAGAGAGAAATTTGAAAATGAGATATGAAGAACGCATGATCAAGGGTATTAATGAAACAGAAGGTGAACTTTTGTCGTTGGCATCTAGTTCGGAGTCAGAAGTAGATGTGGAGTATCAGCCAACTGAAACTCAGCCATGTACACCTGCAACGTCAAAATTAACAGATTCAACAGCTTGTTCTTCATCATCACAAAAGAAATTTAAGAATATCTTTCAGTCCCCTGAAGTTGTATGTGCTTTGTATCGCGTTTGCCTTCAAGAACGTAGAGCTGTGTTTGTTGCCGGAGCCGTTGCAGAGGCACTGGGCTATGATCTTTTAAGAAATAACATTGTCTTGAAGTTTAATCAGACGATCCAGAATAAATAAAAGACAACGAGCTGCTGCAATAGGTGAAAAAGAATTTTCTTTGACAGGACCACTATTGCTGCATTGGGACGGAAAAATATTGCCCGACATTAATGGATCGAAGGAAAATGTGGATCGGATAGCTGTTATTGTTACTGGGAATGGACAAGAAAAACTGTTGTCTATTCCAAAAATGAATAGAGGAACTGAAGAGGCTCAAGCAAATGCATGTATTGAAGTAATTGAGAAATGGAATCTGCGTTCACAGATCAAAGGGCTTGTATCCGACACAACAGCTAGCAATACAGGACTTCATAACGCCGCATGTATTAGAATTAAAGAAGCCCTGGGAACTGAAATAGTCTGGGTTGCATGCCGTCATCATGTAATGGAAGTTTTCTTTTTAAATGTTTTCACGTCTCTGTTTGGTCCATCTGAAGGTCCATCAACTGCACTATTCAAATGTTTGTCTTTTTACCAAGTGCTCTTGAAACACAGCAGCCAAGAGACGATTATAAGAAATTTTACGTTTATCCTTCTGATTTCTTGATGGACAAAAAGGCAGTGACAAATTTCGAGCTCCCGGTCCAACACATCATGCACAATGGATGGCAAAAGCCATTAACGCACTGAAAACTTTTCCTTTTTAAGACTCAGTTCAAGTTGACTGCTCATAATCCAAAAATATCACAGATTTGGCTCTGTTTGTCAGTCTTGTTTATGTCAAACAGTGGAACAAAGCACCACTTGGAATTATAGTCCCTCTCAATGACATCAAATTTTTGTTAAATCTGAAGACCTATCCGAATTAGACTGTTGCCAATAAGACACATGAAGCATTTTCAAGGCACCTCTAGTTTCTCTCTAAGCATCTGATTGGCATGGCCCTATTAAGATGATAGAGTATAAGCATCATTCCAAAAAAAGATGGTACAAAATCTACATCGACCAGGATTGGCAGACACCCCTCGGCGTGTAAAGTTGACACGTGAATCTGAGCAATTGAAATTGGAGGATCTGATCCAGTCTTCACGAAGTTTTGTGAACTAGCTAAAAAAATAACAGTTGTAAATGATGTAGCTGGAAGGGGAATCAGTCCTATTGAGAAATACAATAACACACTGACAAAAAAAGAGGAACAAAAACAGTTTATTCTTCAATTAATTGCAAACCATCGCAAAAAATTCCAAACTCATCAAAGGCATCACTTATTTTTTAGATTATTCATTGTGGAACTGTGGTACAGTTTATCTAAAAAATGTCAAATTTTAAAACTAAATTCTTGATTAGATTTTAGTTTTTAGTTACATTTTTTAATTACAACCTTAATTTAATTTCTTAATTTTAACATAATTTTTAATTTAATCTTAAGTTTTAAATTGATAATCGACATTTGACAAAAACTACTTTATTTGAGATAACCTAAAAACTATCAAATGGGTTGAGCCCTAAGTATTATTTGTTGTCATTGAAATTTTTCACAATTGTTATAATCATAACAAAGAACAAAAATAACCTTGCGGACAACTGAATTCTGTTACTTTGTTTTTGTGGACCACCCTTAAATATATATATATATTTATATATATATATATATATATATATATATATATATATATATATATATATATATATATATATATATGTGTGTGTATATATATATATATATGTATATATATATATATATATATATATATATATATATATATATATATATATATATATATATATATATATATATATATATATATATATATATATATATATATATATATATAATATATATATATATATATATATATATATATATATATAGGTGTGTGTGTGTGTATATTTATAAAAATATATATATATATAATTTTTTTTTAGTATATATATGTATATATGTGTATATATATATATATATATATATATATTTATATATATATATATATATAAATATATATATATTCATATATACATATATATATATATATATATATATATATATATATATATATATATATATATATATATATATATGTGTGTGTGTGTGTATATTTATAAAAATATATATATATATAATTTTTTTTCTATAAAAAAAGCAAAAACTTTTTATTTATTTTGTGGTTAAGGTGCAAGAAGTCCATACGGTCTTATCACAGAGCACGCGGAAGAGTTCGCAATAAATGTGCAGCGTGTTGCAACTTTCATATTACTACTTATTAAGATTGAAATTGGAAATAAAAAGTTTTTTGTTCTTTTGTTTAGAACGAGTGGAGATACAATGCAACAGAGCGTGTCAAGTTTTTTATCGAATCTTTCTTCTATTCATCAGGATATTTCTTCAACAAGCATGCAAGGAATAACTAATTTTCAGGTAATCTAAATGCAAATAATGACAAGTTTTGATGGTACCCAGCAACATGCAATAGCGAAATTTCAGTGGACCTATATAAACATTTTAAGCGGGCCGCTGTATTTTTGCTTATCGGTTACTTAGTGAATCAGTAGTGGCAGCCTCTAAAAAGTGGCTAGCCGATGAGTAGCCACTATAAAAATGTCAGAAAATTATTGGCTAGCCATTTATAGCAGCTTCCACTAAAGGTCCTCTAAGTAGTCGATGAACAAAATTCCAATGAACCGCTGTAAAATGTCTATATAGGTCCACTGCAAATCTACTAAAACATTGTTTGCTGGGTAAAATAATAGGTGTTTTCAAATAATTATTTCTTTTTAGGGTGTCTAATTATGCTAATTATATCTTTATATGCGTCTTTTTATAGGGTGCCATTGACGATTTGCGTTCCATTATTAGAGAAATGGAGATAAATCAAGAAATGATTAAAGCTGATGATTTAATATTTATTTCGTCGTCATGAGATTTATTTTCTGGTTATTTCTGACTGTTATTTTTATCACGGTGTTCGTGTCATTTGGGTTGTTAGTTACATAACACAATTTTAATTACAATTTAGTTTGAATGATTGCTTTATCTAATTTAATTTGTTTTATTGATAGTTTGATCATTCTGCTTGGATTAAATATTTAAATACAAACTAAGTTCATTTCTCCGGCAACATATATTAAACCTGCGGGGTTTAAATTAGTGACATGTAAGTGTTATTATTACCTATTAAACGTATTCGTTTATGCGTAATTATTTTATTAGATTATTTTAACATTATTAGTTAATCAAACCAGATAAAATATTAAAAACGTAGGTAAATCCGTAAGTATCATTTTTCAAACAAATCTATAAAAAAAGAATAAGTAACCTATTAGAACTATTAACAAGTAATAATCTTTTCAAAAATGTTCTAAAAGTTCTATACCAATCTTTGCTTTTTAAAACTAACTCATTTTCAACAAACACTAGACTTAGTGTATCCATCAGTTCTGCATGGCAGTTAAGGATAGCCAGTGAGTTGACCTTTGGTTTCAATCTTCATCAACTTCAACAAACATTGTTAGCAAAAACTTATTTTTGTTGTTCAAATCTTTATTTTAATGACATCAAGATATTGTCCAAAGCATCATAGTAAACTTTTTCTTAAATATTCTCATATAAATGATAAAGAGTCAAATGGTCAGCCTCGGAATTTAATCCTTTTACATTTTTATCAGTTTTTCCGCCTAGTGTGTGTGTGAAGTTATTATTGCCCAGATTTAAAAATAAAAAACAAACGGTCTTATAGCATTTCAAATTGATTAAAATAAAAGTTTTTACTGATTGCTATGAATGTGCCAAGGCTTCCACGGTTCCGGGAACCACAAAGTTACATTTAAAACGTTTCAAAAGTCTAAAAAAATAGATCACTTTTTGTCAAAAATAGTTTATTATATTAGTACAGCGTTCAAAATATCTATTCAAAGTTTATCAACTTTGATTAACTAAAGAATAATAAAGTTGAAAAACAAATAAATCATTTTTGGCAGTTTTAACCTAGCTTTTATAAGTCTCATATTAACCTAAAATACTTTTACGCTCTAAGAAAAAATCCGTTATATACAACGAACTGCATCTGTCGCTATTGCACCAACGGATTTTCCGTTACGTTAACGGATTAAAATTTTAACGGATTGAAGTTCGTCGATATTAGTCCGTTGAAATTACAAATTTTTTCCGTTCGGTCAACAAACAATTCGTTAAAATAAAGGAATCATTACACTAGGTGGCTTTAGCTGTTTTAATGAAAAAACGAATTTACTACGTCATCATATTGAATAATTTATTATTCCCTTTATGAAGATTAGAAAGGAATTAAGCCAGATAGAAATGACATTTCATTAAAAAATAGTCCTTATTTTTAATATATAGATTATTTTATTATGTTATTCAACATCTGATTCAAGCAGCACTAATAAAAACTAACTTTATTGGGAGAGATTCTTTAGCAAGTTTTAAAAACGTTTTAACATTTAAATTGAAAACTAATTAAATATTTATAATAATTTTATTCAGTACAGAGACTTTTAATAACAATAAAAATTTAAAAATTCAAATAAAAATATAAAATGTTTTTTAATATATATTTTATTAATACAGTTATTATATTCAAGCTCAAAATACATTTATATAAAAAACACAGACATGTATGCAATTATTATTATACCAGGTTTCATTTTTAATACTGTTGTAAATTCATGTTCGTGCACATTTCAATTCCAGCAACCTGTTGTCAATTATTAAAAGATAAACAAACCTTAAAACACAATAAAGAAAATACTGAATATAAATGATACACCATAATACAAAATGGAAATAAATTTTTACTAATAACCCTGTAAGAGACATTTGTTGCTAATTCTTTATTTCTAAATTGTTAACAAAAGTTATGTTATTTTATTAGTTCCACATTTCAATGTATTAAACAAAAATTAAACGCATTATAAAAGATAACCTTACCTGCTATGGGAAAGGTTGTTAAATTTTTACAAACACCAAAAGTTGTAAAATTTTGGCACAAATCAAGAATAAAAAAAAAGTCTCTCACCTTATTATTTAATAATAATAAATATGTTAAAAGTATTAAAATTAGAATTTAAATTTAATACCTCATGTCTAAATTTTACATATTTAAAGCAGCAAATTCTATACATATATAAACAAGCAATATATAAACTTAGTTGTAACTAACATACAAAAATTGCAAGTAAAATAAATAAGTAGTTTTACAATTAAATTGAAATTACAGTGTGATATAGCGTAAATGTAAAACTTAAATATACAAATTCTAACAACCCATATATAAACTTTGTTGTAACTAGCCTTAATAAATACCCTTAAAAAAAATGCAAGTAAACATTTACAACTGATTTATTTTACAACTGATCAAACTTAAAGTGTAATATTGAATGCCACGTGCATAAAATAGTCAATTATAAAGGCATACAAACAAGTTATATTTACACTTAGCTGCAACTAGCCTAAAAAAATACGTGTCACATGATAGAGCCGAAAATATTTATCCTCGAAAATATCACCGAAATATTTCACAACCGAGCATTTTAGAACCGAAAAGTATACTTTCATTGCAGGATCAATTTATAAAATCCTTTCTTGCGCCGAAAGTTTTAGAACCGAATCTTACAATCGAAAAAATTTGGATCGAATTACAAAATCCTTTCTTTTTGTAATTTTTTTTTTTTTTTTCAGTTTACAAAGTTAGTCGTTTTACAATAAAATAAACAATTAAAATTTCTTTAAAAAAAAAAAAAAAAAAAAAAAAAAAAACATTTTTTGTTATTGCTTTTTTTCCTGTTATCTATTATGTAAAAATAAAGATATGTAAGATATAAAATAAAGAGAAGAAAAAAATTATATGTCCGTGGAAAAAAGAAGACAATTTAAACTTGTCAGCACCGTTTTGAAAATGTAGTGTGTAAACTACGAAACATGCTAAGATTAAAAAATATCGTGTTTTTTATACAAATAAGCAATAGGGTGTGTCGATTTTCACTTTTTTTCAAAATTTGATGATGGCTAGTATTTTTTTTTTTGTAAATCCTTATGCAAAACATGAAAATAATTTTTTTTTGAAAAAAAAAGTATTTTAAGCTACTTTTTATCACCCTCACTGAAAACTTCTGAGATATTTGCCGATGATACTCACTGAAACTTCTGAGATATTTGCCGATGATACTAAACTTTTTTCTAAAACCTTATCGCAATCTAATTTTGTTGATCTGCAGGATCGTCTACGCTTGGTATACGAGTGGTCAAACACTTGGTTACTTAAGCTAAACACTTCAAAATGCTGCGTCATTCATTACGGTCGAAACAACCCCCATTACAATTACTTTCTTCAAAATAACCAAGGAATCAACCAATCTCTAAGAAGCTCTACTAAAGAACGTGATTTAGGAGTCATTTTTACATCTAACCTCAAGTGGAGCGCTCATATTCAAACATTTGTCTCTAAGTCCTTACAAATTCTCGGTATGCTGAAAAAGACATTCACTTTCATTGATGAAAAAATGGCTCTCAAATTATATAAAGTATTTATAAGACCACATCTTGAATATGGAGTGTCCATTTGGGCTCCTTTTTAAAAAGCTGGTATGGCTTTGGTTGAATCTGTTCAACGCAAAGCTACAAAATGAATTTACAGCTTGAGGCATCTTCAATACTGCGAAAGGCTAAAAAGATTAAACCTACCATCTCTTGAGTTTCGACGCTTTCGATGCGATTTAATCCAAATTTTTAAATTAATACATCGTTTTGATATAGTTAATGATAAATATCTACCAAAATATATTAACTCCGTGTCTCGTGGTCACCATTCTAAAATAAGGCGTGAGTATTTTCTAAACTGTCTTCCAAGATATAATCATTTGTATAATAGATCAGCAAAATACTGGAACAATCTACCAGAGCAAATAACTTTGTACTCCACTGTACTTTCTTTCAAAAATAGACTAGACTCCTGGTTGTGGAAAAAGTTTGGAACAAATATTTATAAAACTGGTTGTTTATAGTGGGGTGTTTCCCCTGCTCGCTGTATGTGTACTTTCCATGTAAATTTACGGCTACAACTATAATAATAATAATAACCCTCAAACTTTTATTTTTTTGGACTTGGTTTTTTATTCTAAAAACTGAAGTTTGCCGTAATCTCCGAAGAAGATCGCATATTTACCAAACCATATAGCAAACTAAAATTTAACTCTGTCCGAAAAATACTCCATTTCAAAATTTAGTTTAATAAACAACGTGTAAACAACAATTATATTTTAAAAATACACTCTCCTTTTTGCAGTGTTTACACTTTTTTGGATGTAATAAAAATTTTTATTATTAACCGTTTGTTTTACAAGTTGAAAAATCTACAATTTATAATGCTTTGTTATTAAATTTTAATGCCTTTCAAAAACCTTATCTATATAAATGTATGCATGGATATATATATATATATATATATATATATATATATATATATATATATATATATATATATATATATATATATATATATATATATATATATATATATATATATATATATACTATATTAGTAATACGCATCTGACTTATTCTTATATTAGTCGTTGAAGTAAAATAAAATAAAGAGCATAAACAATTTTTGGAATCCTTTTTTTTTTAAATTGATATGAAGATGTCATATACCACTAAAACAAGAAGTAAATCAGCTTGTCAGCTTAGTAACTTATTTGGAAAAAGTTCAGAGTTTCTTCCATCAGAACTCCCAACGTCCAGAGATATTATCAAATATGGCTGATATTTAAGAGAGATTAGTGAAAAAGATTACAGAAACTATACTTTTAATCAGCTTGTAAAGGATATTCTTCCAAAAATTTTGTTACAGTGGAAAAAAGCCAATTCTTAATTTGTAAGTCCAGTTATTAATTCTGAAAGAAGAATTAAAAGTAAAGTAAAAGACTTGTGGTTATTGGCCGTTAAAGTTAGTAATGGCAATGTAGCCTGTAATTGAATATCACCGCACCTTAGAATATTAGAAATAATGAAAACGAGGATGCGTTTTGAAGTAATAGAACTTAGTAGAGTACCGAGTACGTCCGAATAATACAAGAACGTTGAAAAAATGTTGCAATATCTAGTACGTTGGTTTTTAAACAAAATACATGGGTGATGTGATATTCTAAACATATAATAGTGTATTTCTAAGTTTTTTGAAGGTGATGTGATATTTTAAAATTCTAAGCACTATCTACGATATTATTTTTTAACAAAGTATATGGGTGATATGATATTCTAAACATATATAAGTGTATTTCTAAATTTTATAAAGGTGATGTGATATTCTAACATTTTAACAACTATCTAATATGTTGTTTTTTTAACAAATTACATGGGTGGTGTAATATTCTAAACTTCAAATAGTGTATATTTTAATTTTATCAAGGTGATGTAATATTCTAACATTCTAAGCACAATCTAGTTTGTTATTTTTTAACAAACTAGATTGTGGGTGGTGTAATATTCTAAACATGTAATAGTGTATTTTCTAGTTTTATTAAGGTGATGTGATATTCTAACATTCTAAGCACTATCCAGTATGTTGTTTTTTACCAAAATAAATGGGTGATGTAATATTCTAAACTTCAAATAGTGTATATTTTAATTTTATTAAGGCAATGTGATATTCTAACATTTTAAGCACTATCTAGTATGTTCTTATTTTAACAAAAACATGGGTGATGTGATATTCTAAACATGTAATAGTGTATTTTGAAATTTTATAAAGGTGATGTAATATTCTAACAATCTAAGCACTATCCAGTATGTTGTTTTTTAACAAAATACATGGGTGATGTAATATTCTAAACTTCAAATAGTGTATTTTTATTAAGGTGATGTGATATTCTAACATTCTAAGCACAGTCTAGTTTGTTATTTTTTAACAAAATACATGGGTGATGTAATATTCTAAACATGTAATAGTGTATTTTCTAGTTTTATTAAGGTGATGTGATATTCTAACATTCTAAGCACTATCCAGTATGTTGTTTTTTTAACAAATTACATGGGGGATGTAATATTCTAAACTTCAAACAGTGTATTTTCTAGTTTTATTAAGGTGATGTGATATTCTAACATTCTAAGCACTATCCAGTATGTTGTCTTTTTAAACTAAGTACATGGGTGATGTGATATTCTAAACATGTAGTAGTGTATTTCTAAATTTTAAAAAGGTGATGTAATATTCTAACAATCTAAGCACTATCTAGTATGTTGTTTTTTAACAAAATATATGGGTGATGTAATATTCTAAACTTCAAATAGTGTATATTTTAATTTTATTAAGGTGATGTGATATTCTAACATTCTAAACACTATCCAGTATGTTGTTTTTTAACAAATTACATGGGTGATGTAATATTCTAAACTTCAAATAGTGTATATTTTAATTTTATTAAGGTGATGTGATATTCTAACATTCTAAGCACAGTCTAGTTTGTTATTTTTTAACAAAATACATGGGTGATGTAATATTCTAAACATGTAATAGTGTATTTTCTAGTTTTATTAAGGTGATGTGGTATTCTAACATTCTAAACACTATATAGATTGTTTTTTTTAAACTAAGTACATGGGTGATGTGATATTCTAAACAAATAATAGTATATTTCTTCAAATAGTGTATTTTCTAGTTTTATTAAGGTGATGTGATATTCTAACATTCTAAGCACTATCCAGTATGTTGTTTTTTAACAAAATACATGGGTGATGTAATATTCTAAACTTCAAATAGTGTATATTTTAATTTTATTAAGGTGATGTGATATTCTAACATTCTAAGCACAGTCTAGTTTGTTATTTTTTAACAAAATACATGGGTGATGTAATATTCTAAACATGTAATAGTGTATTTTCTAGTTTTATTAAGGTGATGTGGTATTCTAACATTCTAAACACTATATAGATTGTTTTTTTTAAACTAAGTACATGGGTGATGTGATATTCTAAACAAATAATAGTATATTTCTTCAAATAGTGTATTTTCTAGTTTTATTAAGGTGATGTGATATTCTAACATTCTAAGCACTATCCAGTATGTTGTTTTTTAACAAAATACATGGGTGATGTAATATTCTAAACTTCAAATAGTGTATATTTTAATTTTATTAAGGTGATGTGGTAATCTAACATTCTAAACACTATATAGATTTTTTTTTTTAAACTAAGTACATGGGTGATGTGATATTCTAAACAAATAATAGTATATTTCCAATTTTATTAAAGCGATGTGATATTCTAACATTCTAATCTCTATATAGTTTGTTGTTTTTAAACAAAATACATGGACGATGTTACATTCTTAACATATGATAGTATATTTCTAAATTTTATTAAGGGGATGTGATATTCTAACATTTTAAGAATTATCTAGTATGTTTTTTTTAACAAAGTAAACGGGTGATGTGATATTCTAAAAATATAATACCGGTAGCATGCCTTATATTTCTTAATTTCTTTAAGGCAATGTGATACTCTAAGGTTCTAAGCATCAAATACAAAAAAATTTTAAAACAATAATGTACAATATACATAGGGGATGTGATATTCAAAATATTTGTTTCTTATAGTGTGTAATATATTTCCTAACTATAATAAGGAAATAACATATTCTAAGTTTTTAAACTAAAAGTGCAACTAATTAGTATGATATTTATAAATAAAGTACATGGGGGATGTGATATTGTAAACACGCAATGATAGTTAGTGATATATTTCTTAATTAATTTGCTGGATGTGATATTTTAAGGTTCATAGCAGAAAATACCACTAATTTTAATGACATATATAGGCAATATACATAGGAGGACAAGGGTTATATTTTAAGTAATATAAAACTGTTAGTTGACAATAGATTTCTTATATACATCTAAGATTCAAAGCAGCAAATAAGACTAACAATGAAGTTTCAAAACAATATACATTGGAATTGTGATATTTTATATATATAACATATATAATACTGGTAGTACATAGCAGGTATGACATTCTTAACATATTGATAGTTTGTGGTATAATTCTTAGTTACACTAAGGTAGTGTAATATTCTAAGCAGCAAATTTGACTAACTATGACATAAACAATATACATAGGGGATGTGTGTCTAAACATAATACTATAATATGCGTTATATTTCTTAATTTTATTACGATAGGAGATTTATTAGGATAGTATTCTAAGATGCTACTCTAAGAGATTTATTATAATAATATTCTTTTTTTAGGTTTCTTCTTGTTGTCCCTGGCCACTAGCATTATGTTTTGTTGCATGTTATCAGACTTGTATGGTCACTACTTTTGAAGCCTTTCTGACTGAACAATACCCAGCTGTTTGTCATCAATGCCATCTATATCATGTGATGTAACACTGACTGCTATCACTTTTAAAAAAAAACAGTTAGTTAAAGTCTCCTTCAATCTGTTTCACTCGTAAGATATTTATTTATATTATTATATATATTTTCCATTAAAATAAATACAGAATATCTTACCTTTCAGATTTATATATATTATTGTATATATTTTCCATTAAAATAAATACAGAATATCTTACCTTTAAAAGTATTTATAATTTTTTGCCTGATGTTGTCTTTAAGTATCCCAATCTTCAATTGTAGATTGCAGCTACTAATGAAGTTTGTAGGCGAATACCTATACTATATCAAGCAGAAACCAAAGCATTACAACCAGCACTTATTTTTTCATCACTTATGTTTATCATTATCTTATCCATCCTCCTAAACCAAATATGTTTATTCTTATCCAAATATTCTCCATCCTCCTAAACCAAATATGTTTGTTCTCTACTGATTTCTAGAATGATTGCTTTTGTAATATACATGTTTCTTTACTATTATACATGTTTCTTTAGTTTTTGGTCAAGGTAGAACTTATTATTCTTCACTTTGACATTCTGTTCAAAAAACAAAAGTGTTCTCCATAAGTTTCTTTAATTTTTACTAAACTGTTTAATAAGTGCTTGACTGAATCTAAATCTTGACACCTGTCCCCTCTAACTGCTATCTAGTCAGTCTTCTCTCTATTATAAGCAAAGTCTTTGATAATTGATAAAAAATTCCTAACATTCCAACTTGAGTCTAATATTTTACTCCCTGACAATCATTATGGTTTTTGAACTTCTTGTTTTAAGGCCGACTTGCTAACTGTAATGGCATGCTGGTCTTCTCCATAAGCTTGCTTCATGTGACGTATTTGAGAATGTTTTTGAGGTTATCAAATCATTTCTTTGTAATTGTTTTATTAATGTCATCCTTGAAGGCTAGCACTCTTCTTCGTTTCCAGTACCTTCTGGAGTACCTAAAATGGTTATACTTGATCTTGTGTTATTTTTTATCTACATTAATGATCTTCCTGACAATCTTACATCTAAAGTGGCTCTATTTGTTGATAAATAAACTTTATACCCTTGTCTAAATAAAAAAATTATCTCACTTTTGTAACAGCTTGGGGCTTGTAGTGCCTTTTGATTTTTAACTTCAACAAAACTCAGTTGTTTACTTCAACCTAACTCCAATTGTGGTAAAGTTGCATCTCCTTCTATTTTCTACAAATGGTTGCTGCTCAAAGGAGCTATCATCTCTAGTTCCATTAACCAAAACTCATTCTTAATTGAATCGTCATTCAGCAAAGTCGCATTTTACTGTATCTGTTCCTGCATGCTTTAAAAATTATATAAACTATTTGTTTATTTGTTTTCTTCGGACTGTATTTATCACAGTCTAATTATTTAAAAAATTGATTATATATTCTGTATTTTATTGAAGTATATCTTTTATTTAGATTTAGTACGAATCAGCAGTGAACTTATAAAGAAGTTATCAAACAAGTTGGAAGACTGAAAACTTTGATACACTCAAAAAGTTACTTTTTAAATTTAATTATTTCCTTTCGAAATTGAATATACAATCAATACCAAAATAGAGTCACAAAGTAAATTTAACTTTCTTAAAGCAATATTTTAAATTAAAAAAATTTCGAAGAAAACTTGGGATTGTTGTGTTGTTTCTTCTTCCTATAAATTAACCTTATTATTTAGCAACTAAATTTTCTTTTTAATTTATAATCTATTTTAAAAGAAAAATTTGAAGAAAAAAATGTTTTATTTTATAATATTAAAAAAAAAAGAACAGGCTAAAACTTTTCTATATTATCTAACTTGTTTTTTTATTATTATTTTGCTTGCATTGCTTGTTATGAATTAGGAAGTATTAATCAAGGAAGAAGAGTATATAAAACTTTTTGTAACATCAAAAGTATACTTTTTGAAATATGAAGTGAAATTGAGCTTCATAAATATAAAGACTGTTCTCCTCTCATTTCGGTTTTATAAACTTATTGCTCAGGATAACTAATTAGACGCTGATATAAAAGGAATTAATGAGAATAAAATCAGCATGCAAAAACCTTTTGTTTTATCTTTTTTTTATTATTGTAAATGCTTACTCGACAGTTTCATTAGGCTTTTTTAAAATCATTTTTGTAAATCGACTTTTAGCTTGAATCTTAATCTGCCTAATCAAAGGCGCCAAAAAAATTAGGCACCTTTTTTTTTTGAGTAACTCAAACTATTAACCTGAGCAACATTCAAAGCAACTGTGCAACATATATGTTGCACAGTTGTCTGTTGCACAGTTGCACAGTTAATTTCTTTGCTTTTTAACAAGATTAAAAGTTACTATGCATAGTAACTTTTAATCTTGTTAAAAAGCAAAGAAATTATTGGTTAAAATGAAGTATTGGTTCATTAAATATGATTACCTGCAGCACTTAAAGTAGGCTAATTTCTACAAGAATATTTTTATATATGCCTTTGCTTTCATTCAGGGCCGTCTCGAAGAGGGGTATAGGGGTATCATGCCCTCTTAAACCTGTCATATAAGCATTAGAGTTGGCACATTGAGCAAGTGTAGTTGGCAAACTGCAAATATTGAGGACCTTTTTTTTTTTTTTTTAGGTTTCTTTTTGTCAAAAAAAATACATACGACACCTCTCCCCACCTTTTCCTATGGAAAAAACTCAATGGGGCGGCACTGCTCTGAATTACTATATTTACATAAAATTAAAATAAAACATTGGTTTATTAAATATGAATACCTGCAGCACTTAAAGTAGGACAAAATTCACAAGATTGTTTTTATATATGCTATTACTCAGAGTAGCTATATTTTTCTACTAAGTTGCTGAATAAGTTTTATCGTTTGTTAAAAAAATAAATTTAAGTGTTTTAAATACAGTTTGTTATTCTATATAATCGATCTGAACTTCAATACACTTTTTTCAATGATTTTCTTATTTATGTACTCTATCCTTGTAATGAGAATCTAGAAGACCTTCGAAATAGGTTTCCACGGCTGCTTTAATTCTTTGTTTTAATGAAAATCGTTTTCAACACATGAACTTTTTTGTGTGAATAATTTTTGTGTGATGAATTGAATGTGAGAATAGCCATAAGTTAGTCAACTTATGGCTATTCTCACACTAAATCAACGTCTACCCTATTTGCCGAACCAAAACTGGTATATATGATAGATGTTGCAATAATTTTATACTTTAATTCACTGATTTTCGCGATGGTTTTTTGACCTGCGTATGGTGCGTTTTCTTGATGAAAAGTTATTTTTTTTATTTCTAAACCTGGTCATTTCTCACTATTGTCCAAAACTGGTCCAAAAGGTTACAACGGGTTAATGATTGTAGACCCACGTTTTAGCCATAGTTATGAAACGACGCACAAAATTATTTTTATTCTTTCTAAATCGCTAAATGTTGCTAAGAAAGTTGCAACCGAATTTGTTTTTGTTTCATTGTTAGCAAATGTAACGTACATTGTGCACACAACTTATTGAAACCCAAAACTTCATTCAAAATTTTGTTTACACTACTTAAGAAGATGTCAAGAGCTTCTACTAAATCTCTCTCAATTTACTGACAATATTCCAAAAATATACGTTATTTTTTTGATACGATTTCTGGTTGTTATGAACTTTTTGTACGTCCTTGACGTGGATCATCTTAAAAACTTGTACAACCACGTTATGCTTTTCATCTTTCTACTATTCTAATTGAGCTCGAAGAATCCTTATACACTTTAATAATCTTTAATGAAATTGTTTTGGTGCTACGCATTCACTAAATAATAATCCTTTAACTGCACAATATTCAATTTTGTAGATGTTGCGGAACTAGAATAAGAATGTACTCACTAAGAGCAAAAAACTTTTGATATATTGAATACATAGTCGTTTACCGATTTTTATTTTTTAATCTTACACCAAAAATTTCTTTGCTTTTTAACAAGATTAAAAGTTACTATGTTGCACAGTTGCTTTGAATGTTGCTCAGGTTAATAGTTTGAGTTACTCAAAAAAAAAAGGTGCCTAATTTTTTTGGCGCCTTTGATTAGGCAGATTAAACAAGCTAAAAGTCGATTTACGAAAATGATTTAAAAAAAGCCTAATGAAACTGTCGAGTAAGCATTTACAATAATAAAAAAAAGATAAAACAAAGAGTTTTTGCATGCTGATTTTATTCTTATTAATTCCTTTTATATCAGCGTCTAATTAGTTATCCTGAGCAATAAGTTTATAAAACCGAAATGAGAGGAGAACAGTCTTTATATATATGAAGCTCAATTTCCCTTAATATTTCAAAAAGTATACTTTTGATGTTACAAAAAGTATTATATACTCTTCTTCCTTGATTAATACTTCCTAATTCATAACAAGCGATGCAAGCAAAATAATAATAAAAAAACAAGTTAGATAATATAGAAAAGTTTTAGCCTGTTCTTTTTTTTTAATATTATAAAATACAACATTTGTTCTTTCAAATTTTTCTTTTAAAATACATTATAAATTAAAAAGAAAATTTAGTTGCTAAATAATAAGGTTAATTTATAGGAAGAAGAAACAACACAACAATCACAAGTTTTCTTCTAAATTTTTTTTATTTAAAATATTGCTTTAAGAAAGTTAAATTTACTTTGTGACTCTAATTTGGTATTGATTGTATATTCAATTTCGAAAGGAAATAATTAAACTTGAAAAGTGACTTTTTGAGTGTATCAAAGTTTTCAGTCTTCCAACTTGTTTGATAATTTCTGTATAAGTTCACTGCTGATTCGTACTAAATCTAAATAAAAGATATACTTCAATTAAATACAGAATATATAATCAATTTTTTAAATAATTAGACTGTGATAAATACAGTCCGAAGAAAAAAAATAAACAAATAGTTTATATAATTTTTAGAGCATGCAGGAACAGATACAGTAAAATGCGACTTTGCTGAATGACGATTCAATTGAGAATGAGTTTTGGTTAATGGAACTAGAGATGATAGCTCCTTTGAGCAGCAACCATTTGTAGAAAATAGGAGATGCAACTTTACCACAATTGGAGTTAGGTTGAAGTAAGCAACTGAGTTTTGTTGAAGTTAAAATTCAAAAGGCACTGCAAGCCCCAAGCTGTTACAAAAGTGAGATAAATTTTTTTATTTAGACAGGGGTATAAAGTTTATTTATCAACAAATAGAGCCACTTTAGATGTAAGATTGTCAGGAAGATCATTAATGTAGATAAAAAATAACACAGGACCAAGTATACCCATTTTAGGTACTCCAGAAGGTACTAGAAACGAAGAAGAGTGTTAGCCTTCGAGGATGACATTAATAAAACAATTAGAAAGAAATGATTTGATAACCTCAAAAACTTTCTCAGATACGTCACATGAAGCAAGCTTATGGAGAAGACCAGCATGCTATTACAGTTAGCAAGTCGGCCTTAAAACAAGAAGTTCAAAAGCCATAATGATTGTCAGGGAGTAAAATGTTAGACTCAAGTTAGAATGTTAGAAATTTGTTGATCAATTATCAAAGACTTTGCTTATAATATAGAGAAGACTGACTGGATAGCAGTTAGAGGGGACAGGTGTCAGATTTAGATTCAGTCAAGCACTCATTAAACAGTTTAGTAAAAATTAAAGAAACTTATGGAGAACACTTTCGTTTTTGAACAGAATGTCAAAGTGGAGAATAATAAGTTCTACCTTGACCAGAAATTAAAGAAACATGTATAATAGTAAAGAAACATGTATATTACAGAAGCAATCATTCTAGAAATCAGTAGAGAACAAACATATTTGGTTTAGGAGGATGGAGAATATTTGGATAAGAATAAACATATTTGGTTTAGGAGGATGGATAAGATTATGATAAACATAAGTGCTGAAAAAATATGAGCTGGTTGTACTGCTTTGGTTTCTGCTTGATATAGTATAGGTATTCGCCTACAAACTTCATTAGTAGCTGCAATCTACAATTGAAGATTGGGATACTTAAAGACAACATCAGGCAAAAAATTATAAATACTTTTAAAGGTAAGATATTCTGTATTTATTTTAATGGAAAATATATACAATAATATATATAAATCTGAAAGGTAAGATATTCTGTATTTATTTTAATGGAAAATATATATAATAATATAAATAAATATCTTACGAGTGAAACAGATTGAAGGAGACTTTAACTAACTGTTTTTTTTTAAAAGTGATAGCAGTCAGTGTTACATCACATGATATAGATGGCATTGATGACAAACAGCTGGGTATTGTTCAGTCAGAAAGGCTTCAAAAGTAGTGACCATACAAGTCTGATAACATGCAACAAAACATAATGCTAGTGGCCAGGGACAACAAGAAGAAACCTAAAAAAAGAATATTATTATAATAAATCTCTTAGAGTAGCATCTTAGAATACTATCCTAATAAATCTCCTATCGTAATAAAATTAAGAAATATAACGCATATTATAGTATTATGTTTAGACACACATCCCCTATGTATATTGTTTATAAATGTCATAGTTAGTCAAATTTGCTGCTTAGAATATTACACTCCCTTAGTGTAACTAAGAATTATACCACAAACTATCAATATGTTTAGAATGTCATACCCCCTATGTACTACCAGTATTATATATGTTATATATATAAAATATCACAATTCCAATGTATATTATTAAAAAATTTCATAGTTAGTCTTATTTGCTGCTTTGAATCTTAGATGTAAATAAGAAATCTATTGTCAACTAAAAGTTTTATATTACTTAAAATACCACACCCCTCCCCCCCTCCCCCATGTATATTGTTTATATATGTCATAAAAATTAGTTTTATTTTCTGCTATGAACCTTAAAATATCACATCCAGCAAATTAATTAAGAAATATATCACTAACTATCACTGTATGTTTACAATATCACATCCCCCGTGTACTTTGTTTATAAATATCATACTAATTAGTTGTACTTTTAGTTTAAAAACTTAGAATATGACATTTCGTTATTATAATTAGGAAATATATTACACACTATAAGAAACAAATATTTTGAATGTCACATCCCCCATGTATATTGTTCATTAATGTTATAAAAATTATTTGTATTTGATGCTTAAAACCTTAGAATATCACATTGCCTTAAAGAAACTAAGAAATATATGGTATGCTACCGGTATTATATGTTTAGAATATCACATCACCCGTCAACTTTGTTAAAAAAAACATACTAGATAGTTCTTAGAATGTTAGAATATCACATCCCCTTAATAAAATTTAGAAATATACTATCATATGTTAAAAATATAACATCGCCCATGTATTTTGTTTAAAAACAACAAACTATATAGAGCTTAGAATGTTAGAATATCACATCGCTTTAATAAAAATTGGAAATATACTATTATTTGTTTAGAATATCACATCACCCATGTACTTAGTTTAAAAAAAAACAATCTATATAGTGTTTAGAATGTTAGATTACCACATCACCTTAATAAAATTAAAATATACACTATTTGAAGTTTAGAATATTACATCACCCATGTATTTTGTTAAAAAACAACATACTGGATAGTGCTTAGAATGTTAGAATATCACATCACCTTAATAAAACTAGAAAATACACTATTTGAAGAAATATACTATTATTTGTTTAGAATATCACATCACCCATGTACTTAGTTTTAAAAAAAACAATCTATATAGTGTTTAGAATGTTAGAATACCACATCACCTTAATAAAACTAGAAAATACACTATTACATGTTTAGAATATTACATCACCCATGTATTTTGTTAAAAAATAACAAACTAGACTGTGCTTAGAATGTTAGAATATCACATCACCTTAATAAAATTAAAATATACACTATTTGAAGTTTAGAATATTACATCACCCATGTATTTTGTTAAAAAACAACAAACTATATAGAGCTTAGAATGTTAGAATATCACATCGCTTTAATGAAAATTGGAAATATACTATTATTTGTTTAGAATATCACATCACCCCTGTATTTAGTTTAAAAAAACAACATACTGGATAGTGCTTAGAATGTTAGAATATCACATCACCTTAATAAAACTAGAAAATACACTATTTGAAGTTTAGAATATTACATCCCCCATGTAATTTGTTAAAAAAACAACATACTGGATAGTGCTTAGAATGTTAGAATATCACATCACCTTAATAAAACTAGAAAATACACTATTACATGTTTAGAATATTACATCACCCATGTATTTTGTTAAAAAATAACAAACTAGACTGTGCTTAGAATGTTAGAATATCACATCACCTTAATAAAATTAAAATATACACTATTTGAAGTTTAGAATATTACATCACCCATGTATTTTGTTAAAAAACAACAAACTATATAGAGCTTAGAATGTTAGAATATCACATCGCTTTAATGAAAATTGGAAATATACTATTATTTGTTTAGAATATCACATCACCCCTGTATTTAGTTTAAAAAAACAACATACTGGATAGTGCTTAGAATGTTAGAATATCACATCACCTTAATAAAACTAGAAAATACACTATTTGAAGTTTAGAATATTACATCCCCCATGTAATTTGTTAAAAAAACAACATACTGGATAGTGCTTAGAATGTTAGAATATCACATCACCTTAATAAAACTAGAAAATACACTATTACATGTTTAGAATATTACATCACCCATGTATTTTGTTAAAAAATAACAAACTAGACTGTGCTTAGAATGTTAGAATATCACATCACCTTAATAAAATTAAAATACACATTATTTGAAGTTTAGAATATTACATCACCCATGTAATTTGTTAAAAAACAACATACTGAATAGTGTTTAGAATGTTAGAATATCACATCACCTTAATAAAATTAAAATATACACTATTTGAAGTTTAGAATATTACATCACCCATATATTTTGTTAAAAAACAACATACTAGATAGTGCTTAGATTGTTAGAATATTACATCACCTTTTGAAAATTTAGAAATACACTACTACATGTTTAGAATATCACATCACCCATGTTTTTGTTAAAATAAGAACATACTAGATAGTGCTTAAAATGTTAGAATATCGCATTGCCTTCATAAAATTAAAATATACACTATTTGAAGTTTAGAATATTACATCACCCATTTATTTTGTTAAAAAATAACATACTGGATAGTGCTTAGAATGTTAGAATATCACATCACCTTAATAAAACTAGAAAATACACTATTACATGTTTAGAATATTACACCACCCACAATCTAGTTTGTTAAAAAATAACAAACTAGATTGTGCTTAGAATGTTAGAATATTACATCACCTTGATAAAATTAAAATATACACTATTTGAAGTTTAGAATATTACACCACCCATGTAATTTGTTAAAAAAACAACATATTAGATAGTTGTTAAAATGTTAGAATATCACATCACCTTTATAAAATTTAGAAATACACTTATATATGTTTAGAATATCATATCACCCATATACTTTGTTAAAAAACAATATCGTAGATAGTGCTTAGAATTTTAAAATATCACATCACCTTCAAAAAACTTAGAATTACACTATTTGAAGTTTAGAATATCACATCACCCATGTATTTTGTTTAAAAACCAACATACTAGATATTGTTTGTTAACAAACAACATTTTTTCAACGTTCTTGTATTATTCGGACGTACTCGGTACTCTACTTAGTTATATTACTTCAAAACGCATCGTCGTTTTCATTATTTTACTGGTGCGGTGATATTCTAAGGTGCGGTGATATTCTATTACAAGCCACACCAATTAGAAATAAATTTATGGAAAAACTTGATAAACTTTTTGATTTGTTTACATGCAATTGTAAAATATTTTTTTGCTTAGAAAATAAGTGTGGAGAAAATTGTGACAGAAAAGCTCACATTGTATGTACTTGTAAAAAAGAACAAAAAATTCCTCTTCTTGAGTTGAACTTTGTAAGACATCAAACAGAAAAAGTTGGAACCAAAGCTATCCTTCAAATAGCTGGCATTGATCGTATTGAAACTCAGAAACTATGTAAAAAAATTAAACGACATACAATACAAAATCAGGTTTCACAAACAAAAAAATCAAAACTAGACCAGGAGATTGTAAATCAAGAAAATGATTTTTTCTTTCCCGAGAGTGACTCAGATGAAGTCTGAAGAGACAAATGATAAAATAAAAATGAATATTTCAAAAAAAGTAAAAGAAAAAAATCAATTGTATAACACCATGAAAATAAAAAATATAGCATTAGCAAGCTTAAGGCATCATACAGGTTTAAGAGAAACTGCGGAAATAGCAACTGCTGCCCTTATTGATGCTAAAATTATCACTGAAGGAAACACTTGCTTAATTATCGACCATAACAAAGTTAAACGAGCTCAAGAAAAAATTGGAAAAGAACTGACCTCAAAATTCCATAAAGAAACTAAACAATAATGGTTTGAGTTGTATTTTTTTTGATGGTAGAAAAGATGACACTAAAATTTTTTTTGATGTTGAAGGCAGAAAATTCCCAGGTCTAATATAAGAAGAACATTATACTGTGTGCAGTAAACCTGGTGGAAATTATCTATTCCATTTTGTTCCTGAAGAATCTGATTTTAAAAGACCTGCTGAGATAATTGCTGATCATTTAATTGAATGGCTTAAAGAAAGATGTTTACATTTGACATTGGAAGCCATAGGTTGTGATAGTAATAATGTAAATACTGGATGGGCAGGAGGAGTAATACAATGGGTTGAAAAAAAATTTAATAAAAAACTTGTATGGATTGTATGTGACCTGCACACTGGGGAACTAGAGTTAAGAAGTCTTATTAAGTTTCTTGATGGTCCTACTAAAGCCAGCAATCATTGGTCAGGACCTCTGGGTAAGATGTTGGTAACGATGCTACCAACCTTGAAATTAACCCAGAATTTTCAAAAGTGTGTGAAGGCTCTCCACTTATCTACCTCAGTCCTGACATTATCAAAGATCTAAGCACCGATCAGAGCTATGCATACCAAATTGTGACATCTCTTAAAACTGGAGTTCTGCCTAAGAGACTGGCATTACTAGAAATTGATCCTGTTTGTCATAGTAGATGGCTAACTACTGCTTTAAG